CATTAAAAGCTAAATATAAAGATGCGGATTTTACCTTTAAGAAATTTGATGTGTCGAGTGAGGTAGTTGCATCAATGATTGAAAAACAATTAACATTTAAAGATAATCAATCTAAGGGTCTAGGGTATCATAGTATTCCACCTCCCTTCAATGATAACTATACCCCACCCCTTGAAATCATTAAGGAAGAGACACCTACTCAGTGTGGCCAAATCCCTGAACCAGTTTTAGTTAAGACTGAACAATCAGGCCAAATTACTGAGGGTGTTGCTAATGATTCTACTTCATGTGCAGGTAAAGTAGTGGAAGAGGAGGACCAGGAGAACAAAATTAATTCCAGTTTTGTTGATTCTATTGATTGTTAAACAAATATCTCATTGAACTCTGAATCTTGTGCTTCTAACTCAGTTACTTCTAATCAACCTGCTGTTGGTAAATACAAGCCACCAAAACAAGTGAAACAGACGGCTTGCTGTATGTGTGTATACGAGATTAATAAGAAATGAGGAAGGGGCACGCCACCAGGGGCAGGAAGAAACAACTAATACATGAAGAAAAAGATATGTTTTCACTGTGGAACACCTAGACACATTGCTAGAAATTGTTCAAATCGTGCATATGTTCCCTACTATGCTCAAGGATGGCAAAGAGGGAGATTTTTCAAAAAAAACCCTTCAAGACCACGTGCAAACAATAGTGACTAGAACACGAAAATGGCCAAGAATCAAACTCCCAAAGTCAAGAAGGGAATGTTGGACAAAAGGCTAAATTCAAGAGATACTCCAGTGAAACCAAGACCGGTTAGTTCAAAGTGCTCTCAACGATCGGCTTCGAGTTCAAAGGCATGCGGTACGGCACCCAATCGATCGAACAAGAATTGGGTTAAGCCTGACTACAAATGGGTATCGAAGGTTCATTCTCTCAAATCTTTAAATGATTCTAATATTTCTTCATCCTCAGTTTGTGATAAGCATGATATGTCATGGGAGAGAGTACATTGCATTGATGACAAAGGTTAACCTAGTTTCAAAATGGACTAGATTTGTAAGACCTACTAATCTCGCATTATGTGCTAGAGCAGCTATGTAGGCATATCATCAGATTTCATTTTGTTGATAGTGGCTGTTCCAAGCACATGATAAGGGACACCTCTCAATTGTACAACATTCAGGACTGTATTTGAGAGTATTGGCGTGTTTGGCAAAAGTAGCTGGTAGCTGGAAGCAGGTAGCGGGTAGCTGGTAGGGTGTAGCAGGTAGCTAGTAGCGGGAAGCTGTAGCTTTTATTTGTTTAATGAATGTTTGGAAAAAGTAGCTGGAAGCTTTTTAAATATATAAAATTACATAAAAATACAATTGATTAAAAATAAATAAATATATAAATATATTTTTAAGGGTAATTATGGAAATTGATTTCAAAAGCTCTGGAGCGTTTTGTTAAACGCTACATGAAATAGCTTTTAGAATCGGAGCGTTTTGTTAAAACTAAAAGCTAAACGCTCGTACCGCCAAACGGAGCTTTTTGTTTAAATTAGAGCGTTTTATCAAAAGCTAAAAGCTAGAAACTCCTAAACGCTTCCAAAAGCTCTGTGCCAAACACACCCTATGTGTCTTTTGTGAGAAGGGAAAAAAGGAAAGGATCACAAATGGGGTTTGTGCTTAACAATGTGGAGAATTTTTGGATCTATTCTGAGATTGAAATATGTGTGCTGCTCTCAGATCATCTGGTTGCAATTTCCATTGGTGAATTACGGTTTGAGTTTTCTTCTCGACACTCCTGAGTTTTTCTTAAAATGATTCGTTTTGAAGACAATCTTTACTTTTTTATATTTTTTTTTGTAGGTATTGTTTGGGAAGTGATATGAAGTCTAGTGCTAAGGAGTGCAATATGAAATTTGTGTAATGCACTGAAGCAAATTGTCTAGACTCTGTGTTCAATGTGTTGGTAGGCACAAAGGATTCAAAAGGACTAGACATTGATTGATAATGAAAGGACTAGACAATATGAACTTAGATAGTCTCATTTGGACTGACCATACATCGCTCGGTAGATTGAACAGTGATATAAACATGGGAACCTGCATCATACACTAAAGGTCATATGTATCTAGAATTGTGGTTCAACATTTCCTCGATATACAGACTTATGTCCTTAATTCCAGTTCTGATAGGACGACTGGGGGGGTTCTAATAAATTAGGTCCGTAGGAAATTATTTTCTTGCTTTCTATCTGTCAATCATATGTTTCCTCCTCTGTGTGATTTGAACATGTCGGACCTGGAAAGCAACATATGCAACTCTATTTCTATGCATCTTCTTATCTATGCAATTCTTTCTATCTGTTAGTCATATGCTATTACCTCTGCGTGATCGGAAGATCCGACCTGGGACACAGCATATGCACCCTACTATTTCTCTAACCCTCTATATATGTTAGTCATATGTTGTTCCCTCTGCGTGATTGGAAGAAATCCGACCTGAGATACAACATATGCACTTCTATATTTAACTTTTTTCTTAATGATTGTCTACTCACCTTAAGTAAAGAGTTCTTTGGAAGTTCTTGATTACCAGGGTATGTCATGAAGTGGGGAACACGTTCTAGTACATCTAAAATTAAGTCATTTAATAGGTTGTCTATAGATCTTGCTGTTGAATTTAAGTGGACAACAATATCCTTGGTCGTCATCAGCCAAATGGTCCATTTAGGAATATAGATCAAAATGTCTTGTCACTTATAATCTATCAATTTTTCAATATCCTTTGTGTTTAAGTGGATCACAATACCGGTGATTGAGCATATCTAAACATGCAGGTGTATGCTCATAAACGATATTGAATTGTCTGACAACCTTGATCCCAAATCAGTCTTAAACTTAGCTATTATTTTTGTTTTTGTTAAATTTGTTCCTCTATGCACAAATTTAAGGGGGAAAATTAAAAATTTTAAAAATCAAACAAAAATCGGAAAATTAAAAATCCAAAAATAGTGTTATTTCAATTTTATTTCTTTTTTAGAAAAATCAAAAATCCAAAAAAAAAAATTGTTTTTGTTTTACTTTTTCCAGAAAATATGAAAAATCCAAAAATATTGTGTGCTAAGTTTTTTAGTTTTGTTTTTATTTCAAAGTTTTGGTTGTCTTGAAAAGCGAATCAGGGAACTCAAAGGAAGAAGAGACTCAATGAGACGGTATTAAAACTTTATGAGCCAAGGTTACATCCTTGAAACAACTGTGGTGAGATGGACTTTTCATAACTCTGTGATCTACAGATCACAGGGACTTTTTAGTCTTTTGTTACTTTTCAAGGCGCAACAGTGATCATTGAAGAATTCTCATTCGAAGGAACAAGAAATAAAGATTATTTTTCAACATTCAATCTTTAAACCTCAGAAGCAAGGTGAAGCTTCACTTCAAGATTATGTGACAGATTGCATTGAAGCCTCCTCAATCAATTTGTTGCTATCTATGTACCTGCTGAAGTGATCCAGAAGATTCGTTCTCTGTTATTCTCTCTGAAGATTCTCAAGATGAAAGTGTTGATTTTAAAGAATCCTTACATGAAGCCTCCACACCCAACGTGCATTCAAAGCCAAATTTTGAAGAAATTCCCAACTTTTCAAGATGAAGTTATTCATATAGATGATTCATATGTTCATCTTGAAGTCGTGAAGAAATTGAAGATTAATGTTGAACCCAAGCTCAAAGTGAAGATTGACAAGAAAAACAAACTACAATTTTAGGGGGAGTTTGTTGGGTCATAAGAGAAGAAAACTATAAACCAAGGGGGGATTTTGGGTCTAAAAACTAGCTTATACTTTGCTTTTCTAAGCATTTATTGTTTTTAGTCTTGGGTGATTATTCGGTTTATTTGTAGCTTGGACCGAAAACTCATGGGATTTCGGTCTGGTTATTGGGTTTAGGCGTTGGCCTTATGTCCATAGGTATATATATATATATATATATATATATATATATATATATATATATATATATATATATATATATATATATATATAGGAGTAAAAGACATGTTTTAGGAGACAAGAACCAAGGGTGGGACGTTTTCAGTCAAGCATTAGTGAGGAGAGAAGCCATATTGTAAGAAGGGGAGTTCTAGAGAGAGAAATTAGAGAGAAGAAGTGTGTATGTGTGAATCTTATGTAACGGAACATCATTCATATTATTAATACATCAAAGATTCATCTAGTTCTTCTTCTTCTCCTTTTCTATCTTGCATCATCCACTTTATTGGGATTCCGCACCATTAAGTGGATCGGATTGATACGTCAAGCAATTTTTGGGACTTGCAGGAATAAGTGTCTAAAAAATCGATGACCTCTTGTTGATTGAAACCTTTGGCAATAAGGCGTGCCTTGTAACGCTCAATAGTACCATTAGAATGACTCTTGTTGATTGAAACCTTTGGTCATATCTATTGTTGTTTTTCTTTGTGGTTCAACCATGTTACTCTTTTTATAACACAAAGAACGTAAAGATAATGTTTGAGATGCATTATTGTTACTTGTTTTTATATTAATTTTCCTTTAAAGACAATTAGACTACTTTGTGATTTAAACAAAACAAAGTACAAACAAAACAAAAACAAAGTACAAACAAAACAATAAAACATGATCCATTCACATAGGTCCAATGCTTCTTACCTAAGCTCTTACATCATTAGAAGTCATAATCCAAGGCCACTTGTCACATGACCAAAGATCAAGATATGTGGTGGGTTTTCCTATTGTATATTATATTCTACTTTAAAAATGTGTGGGTGAGTCTTGGAGCAACAACTAAAGTTAGATTCTTTTTTTACCAAATGGTCACACTTTTTAAGTAAGAAATGCAACACATACAAAGACCATTTAGTGTGATATAACATAGAAATATGATAATCAGTTTATGAGAGCTATTTATACGATTTAAATGCAGATAATAACATAGATCACAGACATAACAAAATATAAAAATCGAATATATAGGATTGAACACATTCTTAGCTTAATTTCCTAACATCTTCAATAAGTCGTCTCATATTGCAGTGAGAAGATCCTCCCTCTTCTATTGCTTTATGTGCGATCTTACTAAGTTCTTTAGCTCTCTTTCTTCTCTCTTCTCCTTCTTTATTCCCTTTTTCCATCACAATCTCTATAGCCTTCCGCAATTCCTCACTCTTTATTTGTAGTCCAGACTTCTCTTCTTCACCCCAATGCACCACATTTTGAGCACCAACACTAACTCCAATCCTCAACACTTGTACAACTAACTTTTCATTATAGAACTGCTCCTGAAACTGAGGCCATGTCACCATGGGAACACCAGCACATATCCCTTCTAGAGTTGAATTCCAGCCACAGTGAGTCAAGAACCCTCCAATTGCAGGGTGGGATAAGATCACCAGCTGTGGAGCCCACCCACGGATCAATAGACCTCGATCTTTGGTTCTCTCTTCAAACCCCTCATCATCTATCCATTTTGCTATCTTTGGTGTCTTGGGGCCCGCCCGAACCACCCAAATAAACGGTCTGTTAGAAGATTCTAGAGCTAAAGCAAGCTCGACTAACTGGTCAGGCTCCATACGACTAATACTTCCTAGACATGCATAGATCACCGAGCCATTATCTTTAGAATCTAGCCACTTTAGGCATTCGTTCTTGTTAATGGAGGGCTTGTTACCTCTCAGGGCCTTCTCTGATACATCTTTATGGCATAGGGATAATGGACCTACACACCAAACTTTATCTTCTTTGATTTGCTGATATTCATCAGCATATCCTTGTTCCAACTCCCGAACACTGTTTATAACTACTCCAAATGCTTCAGATTCCGATACCCGAACTTTTTCAACAAAATCTGTCACGTCTTTTGAGCCAGGGTTGAATGCAAAAGATAGTTGGGATCTTTTTAGTTCAATTCGATCAGGCAAACCGGGTAAAACAAACGACTCTGACTCACCTACACTTTCATAAACCTTGGTGAGGTACAAAACGTGGTTACACATCTGTGTGAAGCAATTCATTCCGTCAAATATAATCCTTGGAATCTGAAACTTTTTTGCTGTTTCAGCTGTCCATAGGAGAAATGTGCCAGATAAGATGCAACTTGGCCTTGGATTCAGGTTTTCAATATATTGTTCGACTTGTTGTTGCAGAGAACTATGGGCAAGGAAAAGTTTACTGCCCATTTCCATACTAGGAACCTCATCCAAGCTTTCACAACCTTCTGGTAACCCAAACTCTGCAGTTGGAAGTGGGAATTCCTGATAACGGATGGGAAGACCTGATTGGATTGCTTGATCAAGGATTGACCCGAATCTAATGGAATTCACTGGGGTTGTGACTATGGTGACTCTAACACCATGTTGAGCTAGTAGCTTAGCCATGTCAATGGTGGGAATATAGTGGCCTGGTGACATTAAGGGTATAACAAGAAAGTGAAGTTGGGTGTCATGTGGTTCTTCTAATGCCATTTTACAGTGGAGCTGGTATGATAGAGTCTCAAATCTAGGTTTGCTAAAGAAATTGTGTTTGCATTCTAAATTTAAGATTCATCCTCTTTCCCCTTCCCCTTTTCAATGTTATTTAAATTTTCTTCCCATTTATTTTATAACATTAGTCGGTGTTGATGCAAGCGTATACATAAGCATGTAAACATCTTCGAAAAAGACGCGCAGATAATTACAACTTTCTATAGTGGCTACTGGCAAAGCATTTTTTTAATATCTCACATCAATAATAGTGCTCGTGAAAGCTTTCACATGCAAGTTTCTTGTGAGTCAACGGGGTGGACTTAACTTAGATGCCGTGATAGGACTTCTGCAAAGATAATTTAATCGTGTGGGATATACACATATATATCACAATCACATTAGAAAATTCTCCGAAATCTTTTATCAAGATATAGTATCCTATATATAATTGGGCCCATCCATTTATTTCGAAGCAAAGACATTACTATACCAAATTTTGCTAGCAACTTTTTTTTCCTTGAAAATTCCTACATATTTCCGAGAGATTTCCTAAAATTATGGAAAATGGTTTTCCTCGGAATTCCTCAAAGGTTCCTAAATATTTTCTAGGGAATTGCTAGGAATGTCAAAAAAATGACAGTTTTGTGTTTAATTAAAGTAATTGCATCTACCACTAATCGAACCATGTTTGAACTTTGAAAAACGAAAATGCCCCTAAATTTCCGGATTAGCGATGATAGCAAAATACTAACGGCTTATTCAAATTCCAATCTCTTCACTGTGGCCTTGTACGGCCGCACACCCGAAACCTCCTTAAGGTCGGATCTAACTAAAATGCTATAAGTATGAATTTTAACACATGAAAGAAAGGGCGTCTTTCTTATCTATCTTCTCATTCTTGTTGTTTGTTTGTTTTGGTTTGTTCACTTGTTTTATTGTATGCATATAATAACTAATAATAAAAGGGTTAGAGATGTAAGTATTATATACCCTAAGGTTAAATATGAATATTAATTTAAATATAGGCGTTTGAATGGAGTATCTGTATGTCTATGTCTATGTATAAATATAAGTTCATTAGACAATGTTCCTACTTTATGATCAAAATAAAATCTCTCATTCCTTAATCTTTTCTTTTGGATCTCTCATCTCATCTTATTTTTCATACTCATTCATCATTAATTTATAATTGTAATAATATCTTGTGATGTATAGTTAATTAAGATGGTGATATTATTCAAATTAGTCATATATTTTGGGTTATTATATTAATATTTGGGCATAATTAATATAATTAAAGATAAAAGATACTTAAATGCTATGTATTTGATAAACATAGGAAAAATCATGGCTTGCACCAAAAGGAATAATTTGAAGTTGGGGGACCTGAAAAATACCCAAAAATAGAAAAACACAAAAAAATCGGAAAGATGTGTCGCTACTTTTAGGGGACATACATCGCCTTTCATAAAATCAGAAAACTCAAATAAAGATTTTGGAAATGAAAAAATCGTGACCAAATTAGGGTTAGCGCCACGAACACTTATCAGTCGTGTCGTGAAGTTACACCGACCTACAACACTATAAATAGACGTTTTTACAACCCCAATTGGTGTGCAATCGTTGGGGACTTCTCCCACGATGTTAAAAGGTATTTAATCAATGGGAAACCATTTTGGGATGATTTTGATGGTAGATAATTAACTCGGAGCAAATATTTAAAGAATCGAAGTGAGAAGCGCTAGAATATCGAATGTGTTTGCTTAATAATCATGTTTAGTAGATCATTTCTTATGTATTTATGTAGGGGTCAAAACGTTATAGTGAGGAGTCGAAATAGTATGGGTTTGTAAGGAGTCGAAATCCAAATGATTTCGACTCTCTATGTATTCACAAGGCACTGTTAGTTTCCAAGCTAAAATGTTTAGTCCTTTTATTTATTTTTTTCGAGTATGTTGTACCCTATAAATAGGGTAAGTACTACAGTAGAGGGTAACTTTTGAGCACTTCTGATTGTAAAACACTCTCGATACTTTGTACTTATTCTAGACTAAATACGAGCCAACCAGATTATATTTACATCTTGTGTTCTAAATTGTTTTTCTTGGATCAATTGTGTTCGTAACAAAATCTATCACACTTCATTTGCTATCGTAGTAGGATTCATCCAATTGATTGCAGTTTTCTCATGTTTTTTATATTTTTTTATTCGCTCTTTCTGATTCAAAAACTTTCACAATCTGAATTAAAAACTTGATTCAGTTGATTGTTGTGAATTGATTCTACACTCTGCATGTTAGATTGATTGATTTCTAACAAATCTTTGTTTGATTAGCTTCTTAAATCTTGTGTTAAATCCAAAATCCTCAGTTCGGGGTCAGAAATGGCATCAACCAAGTCCTCGCACGATGGCCTGAAGTGCCAATCGAATGGCCGGTGCTGGAGGGCTGAATGCGCTATATGGGTAAGGTTGCGCCCTTTCTAACACCAATTGGTTTTAGCTCAACCGGTAGCGCTGATGCTCAACAAGTGGTATCAGATCGGTTCTTTGAAGATCTAATTGATCTTTGAAGTATCGGTTCTAGATTTTATGATTTTCTACACAAATTATTGAAGATTTTTAGTGTTTTGCTGTTTTGGAATCAAGATTGTTGTTCAAGCTACTTTTCATGGAGATTTATGATGTTTGATACGGTCCATTGTGGTAATTCCAATCCGATTCTCATTTAATTTGTATTTTTCTGGATCTGATTTGTTTTGAGATCAAAGTCTTCTGATTAAGTTATTTTCAATAAATCCATGTTTGTGTCCAAATCACGAGTTCCACAGTTCACTATATTCATTATTTTCGGATCTGATTATTATTCATTTAACCGTCCCTATTTATTCATTTGTTCTTGGACCCATTATTGCCAATTACTATTCATTGGTCTAGCCTGCATCTTGTTCTTTGAAATCGTGTGATTTGAATCAAGCATGCCGACTCATCTCTAATCCATAGTTGTTGTATCTTAAAATCTTTTGTTCTTCTATTCTTAAGTCGTAATTTATGAACGATACAATTATCAAAACCGATTTTGATTTTATTATTTGATTTTGTGTTCAAACTAAGTTAATCTGTTCGTTCACGTTCCAATATCGAATATTCTTGATTGTATCGATCTGTGAAGTTAAAGATGATTTGGAGATTCGATAATTTAGGGTTTTTGTGAGTTCCAACATATTTTACGAATCAAGAATAAAGATGACGCATAGTGAAGAACAGATGAATATGGAGATGGATTTGATTGTAAATGGGTATTTGATCTAAAACAATTTGAAGAAGATGATTTTTGTGTTTGTCAAGTATTATGTTCAGCTGGTCACACAATCGGATTGTGTGTTAGTTTTTGATCGCAATCGTTGATCAAATGAAACTGTTAAGAACTGCATCATTTTCCCCTTTATTTGTAACAATTTCGGAAATTGAACTAAAACGGCCATGTTTCCAAAGTTATAGGGACCAAATGTGTAAATTGTTGTTATCTTCCCTATTTATCCTCTGATAAACGAACACAACAATGACTCATGGAACATGAATTCCGATTCCGAGTCCACTCGTAATATGAAGACCGTTTCCAAGATCAAACAAAATTTCGAATACCAAGTTAACTCTGATCAACCCTTCCGATTCCGAGCAATATGTTCAATTCCGATTTCGATTAGTGATTTGATTTCCAAAAGATGATGTGAGTTACGATTCTGAGACTAGTTATAATTCTGAAATCTAATTCCGAACACTTCCACTCCGATTACCTCCTTTAATTCTGATCATGGATGTTTTTCCGATTAACGAACTGAGTTCCAATTTCATTTAGATGTATTGATTCCGAAAGCAATTTCCATTCAGAAGGCATCCAAATACCGATAACAGAATTCTGATTACGAGACCTAGCAGATGCTAATTCGAAAGCGAGACAATTTCAACTTGCAAAAGGTGTCTAGTTTCGCCTTTCTTCCATTATTTACTAGTGGGAAGTTGGCTGAAGATGTTTACATGTGTCAGCCAAAAGGTTTTATAGATGCAAAGTACCCTAATAGAGTGTGTAAGCTTGAGAAGTCCATCTATAGATAAAATCAAGCATCTCGCAGATGGAATCATTGTTTCGATGAGAATGTCAAAGAGTTTCGGTTTTTGAGAAGCAAGGATGAGTCTTGTGTATATGTCAAGGCTAGTGGGAGTATAGGTAGCTTTCAAGTTTTTTATGTTGATCACATACTACTCATAGGAAATGACATCCCGACCTTGCAGGAGGGTAAGTCCCGCCTTGGGAAGTATTTCACTATGAAGGATCTAGGAGAAGCTACTTACATTCTTGGGATAAGGATTTTGAGAAATAGAAGTAGGAGACTAATAAGACTTAGTTGAGTCTCTCGTCTTATGAAAGCCTCGCAACCCCAAACCTTGTTATGTGCCAATGAGGGAACCTTCCCTGTCCATATCTCGTGAGGTGTTTTGGCAATCGTCTTTGTTGGGACTAGATTAAGGATATAGGTGACAGTCTCTAAGGCATACCCCCAAAATGAGATAGGTAATGAAGCTGGACTCATCATGGAACAAACCATGTCTAACAAGGTTCGATTGCGCCTCTCAGCTACACCATTGAGTCGCGATGTCCTAGGCAGCATCAATTGTGAAACAATTCCACATTCCTTAAGATAGTCGTGGAACTCGATATTAAGATACTCACCACCCATATCGAATATGATCATCTTTATCTTCCTACCCAATTGATTCTCCACTTCTTGCTTAAACTCATTAAACTTTTCAAAGGTTTCCGACGTGTGCTTGATTAAGTAGATATACCCATATCTGCTATAATCGTGGGTGAATGTCACATAGAAGCGATTAGCATCCTTTGTGGTGGATCTGAAGGGCCCACACACATCTGTGTGTATGAGATCCAATAATCCCTCACCTATTGGTATGGGTGGACGAAAATCTATAGGAAGCCGACAGA